CGAGGAGCAGGACTTGACTACTCTGAAGTATTTGCTCCAGTAGCAAGATTAGAGATTGTTCGACTAGTAGTAGCATTGGCATGCAACCAAGGCTGGTCAACATTCCATCTGGATGTGAAATCAGAATTTCTGAATGGTCCTTTAGACGAAGAAGTTTATGTCACACAACCTCATAGGTTTGTAATTCAGAAGGAAGTGAGTAAAGTATATATATTGCACAAAGCGCTCTATGGCCTCAAACAGGCACCTAGGGCACGGAACAAGAAGATCGACTCATACTTAGTTGAATTAGGATTTGTCAAATGTAAATCAGAGTATGATGTCTATGTTCAGGTTGTAGCACAAGATATAACAATCATTTGCTTGTATGTTGATGACTTGCTAGTAACTGGAAATAGTTTGGAGAACTTGTCGAAGTTCAAAGAGCTGATGACGAAGGAATTTGAAATATCGGATCTAGGAAAATTGTCTTATTTTCTAGGCATGGAATTTCAAATGTCAAAGTAAGGTATGGTGCTACATCAAAGAAAGTATGTCAAAGAGATACTCAAGAGATTCAGAATGGATGATTCGAATCCTGCATCCTCACCTATCGAACCAAATGTGAAGTTGGAGAAGAATGAAGAGAAAGACAAAGTTGATGCAACTTTGTTCAAGCAAATTGTGAGATCTCTGAGGTATGTGTGCAACAGTCGACCTGATATAGGTTTCGCAGTCGGATTAGTAAGAAGATATATGGGTGAACCAAAAGTGTCACATATGAAGGCTGCAAGAAGAATCCTTCGATATTTGAAGGGTTCAATAAATTGTGGAATACTATTTCGACGAGATTCTGAAGGCAAAGAAGCAATAATTAATTGTTTTTCATATGCTGATTGGTGTGGAGATAAGGAAGATCGAAGAAGCACAACTGGATATTTCTTTCAAGTATTTGGTGCCCCAATCTCATGGTGTTCGAAGAAGCAACCTGTGGTGGCATTGTCATCGTGTGAATCTGAATATATAACAGTATCCTATGCTGCATGTCAAGCAATTTGGATCAGATATGTACTTGAAGAAATGACTGTCGAAGTGAAGAAACCTCTAGTATTACAAATCAATAACAAGTCAGCCATAAATCTGGCGAAGAATCCAGTTCGGCATGGAAGAAGTAAACATATTGAATCAAGGTTTCACTTCTTGAGGGAAAAAGTAAATCAAGGTGAACTTGAAGTTAGGCATTGCTCAAGTGAAACACAATTGGTCGACATTTTCACCAAAGAATTGAAGATCGACAAATTCCTGAATTTGAGAATGAAATTAAGAATAGTTCATATTGACTATTTTTGAGGATGTTCGACAACTTAGATTATGAGGGTGTGTTGAAATATTAAATTAGATTAGATTAGATTTGATTAGATTTAATATTTAATATAATCCACGTAGTGTTAGCCCAAGTCAATTAAAGTTGTATATAAATAGTCATAATGTGTATCATTATTTGTACAATTGAATAATACAAATCCTTATTTCCTTTATTATTCTCTCTTTCTCTTCTCACTAAAAGTGCCTCACGCACTAACAAAACATGCATGAAAAAAATTATTCAAACATTTAAAAGTTTAAGGGTATTAAATAGTTTTCAAAATTTTAGAAAATAATAAAAAATTTATACTATTTTTAATAAGGACAAAAATAAAAATTAAGATATTTATAGAGACCAAAAACATATTTTACTCATGAATATATAGCAATAATTTTTAAATGGTTCAATTATATATATATATATATATATATATATATATATATATATATATATATATATATATATATATATATATATATATATATATATATATATATATATATATATATATATATATATATATATATATATATATATATATATATATATATATATATATATATATATATATATATATATATATATATATATATATATATATAACATGTTTTATCATCATTAATTCTTCACTTTTTAATACATAAATTAACGAGTTGATTATTTTAATTACTTAAGAAAACTCATCCAATTTATTTTTAAATTATCTTACTATAATTTTTTAATTATACAGTAAATTTAAAAATGTCAAGTTTATCATTGATCAAAAAAATATTTATCTATATAATATAAGAATATATAGTTAAATGTAATATAATAAAAATGTGTTATTAATTTATTAGTTATATCATTAATAAATAAATAAATGAGATATATATTTATAAGTAAAAAAATATTAGCCAAAAAAATATAAGTAATATATGAATTAAATGAAATTAAAATGATATGTTAATATAAACAAGGCAAAATACTCTTTTTAGTCTTTAAGTTTACCCCAAGGTCCATTTTGGTCATTTATCTAAAAAAAAGTGTCAAACTTGTCCTATAATTCTTTCAAAAGGACCATAGGAGTCCTTTCCGTCCATTTTGGTCCTTTTTGGTTCATTGGAGAAGCTGCAAAATGAGCGAGCAAAGATGGAGATACATCATCTAAAGGAAAGGGAGGATGGGCTAAAACATAAGATAATGGAGTTACAAATTGAAATAAAGAAGGATGGGCTGAACCAAAAAGGACCAAAATGGACGGAAATGACTCCTATGGTCCTTTTGAAAGAATTATAGGACCAATTTGACATTTTTTTTTTAGATAAAGGACCAAAATGGACCTTGGGGTAAACTTAAAGGACTAAAAAGAGTATTTTGCCTATAAACAACTTATATTATATTTAAGATAAATTATATAAAAAATTTAAAATTCGTGAACGAACAAAAATATGTGAAGCAAAACTAAAAGTACTTATAACAAGAGGGAGTGCATACTTTAATAGTGTATTATATGATTATAAAGAAATTAAAATGAATGATTCGATACATTGAATATTTTTTATTTTTGAATTTGAAGGATCTTTTGTTTAACTTTTGATTCAAGACATAATAAATGTATTAAAGATTAATAACTATAAGCTTGGCCAAAAAGATAAATATGTATTAAATATAAAAAAATATAGAACAAATATTCACAATTAATAAATATTATAATTTTTTAATTGATGAATAAAATTGTTTAAAATAAAAAATGTAACTATATGACGATTTATAATGAATATATACCAATAAGTTTTAGACGGTTCAATTATAAATATAGACATGCTTTATAATCATTAAATTTTAGACGGTACAATTAGAGACTAAATATAACGTAAAGTATATAAGTCTTCACTTTTTAATACATAAATTGAAAAATTAATTATTTTAATTGCTTAAGAAAACCCATCTAATTTATGTTTAAGTTATTTTACTATAATTTTTAGATTATACAGTAAACTTATAAAATGTCTAATTCATCATAAAAAAATATTTATCTATATAATATAAGTATATATAATTAAACGTGTTAAACACAAGAAATATTTTATTATTTATATTACTAATAAAGAAATAAATGAGATAAATGTTTATAATTAAAAATATACTAGACAAAAAAAATAAGTAATATATCAGTTAAATGATATTAAAGTTATATGTTAGTATAAATAATTCATAATTATTTTATAATCATCAGAATAAATAAAAAAGTAAAAAAAAATAAAGAAAATAAAAGTAAATATATCTTAAATATTGTATGAATCTAAGGACGGGATAATGTATATATTTATGGTACTAATATTTATTTATTCAATTAAAATAATATTTAAAAAAATTATATTATTAGTTGATATTTATAAAACTAATTGATTGTATAAATCTTTTTATAAATAATGTTAAAACAAATTTAATATTTATATACGGAAAAAAATATTGTTGATCTAAATATTTGTTATATGAAAAAATTATATTTATGTTGCAAATAAAAATACAAAGATATTTTTTTTTAAATAATAAATTTTATTGGTTAAATAATTATATCTTTCTGTTTTTTCATTCTTAATATATTTTAGAAATAATTCTGCGTAACACAGTAGTATACGTATGAACGCACGGATATCTAAATCAAAATTCGTGCAAAGTCATGGAATATTATATTTTTTTAGTACTATTAAAGAAAATAAAATAAAATATATCTTAAATAATGTATAAACTCAAACATGAAAAATGTATTTATTTATGTTACTAAATTTTTTTATATAATTAAAATAATATTTTCAAATTCTATTTTGTTAGTTATTGTTTATAAAACTAAATGATTGTATAAATATTTTTATAAATAATGACAAAATAAATTTAATATTTACATACATGAAAAGATACTGTTGATTCAAATATTTGTATATATCAAAAAACTATGGTGTAAATAAAAATACAAAGATGTTTTAGTTAAAAATAATAAACTCTCTTGATAAATAATTTTATCTTTTTGTTTTTTCATTCTTATTACATTTTAGAAACAAATACGCGTAACACACAACTAAAATTGTATAGGTAATTATACCATAATTCGTGTGAACTCATATATTATTATATTTTTTTTATATAATTAAAGAAAATAAAAAAATATAATAATATATGAATCCAAATAAGAGAAAAATGTGTTGTTTTTAATAAATTTATGTTGCCAATATTTTAATTTTAAAATAATATTTTTTAAGATAACATATGAAAATTTGAAATATATATTATTGAAGTAAAATAGTTTTGATAAAATAATATTATTTTTCTCTTAAACACATATTTTTCTTTTAAAATAATTAATTTTTTTAGTAAAACAATTTTGTTTTTATTTATTTATATTTTTACTTTATTTTTATATCCCACTAGTATTTGATTTAAAACGATATAAATTTTTTATAAAATCATATAATTAAATGGAAGTATTAAAATTTATTTAATATATTTAAAAAGTAATTTTTTTTCATAAAAAAATAATACATTTAAATTAAATATATAATTTATTCAATATATTTAAAAAATAAATTTTTCTTATAAATAGAATGGAGGATTTAAATAAATAAACAACATGCGGAATTTAAGTGCATTTCACAGTTCATCCACCACCGTCGCAATGAAATCCATCGGCGTTCTAATGACCATCCCAATGCCGAGCAACCTCGCCGAAAAACTCGCCACCCGTTTCACCCTCTTCAAACTTTGGAACTATCCATCAATAGAATCCTTCTCCGAAACGCACGCGGATTCAGTTCACACAATTCGCGCATTCGTTTGCGACGCAAAATCCGCAGCCGATGCTAAATCCATTGACGCCCTTCCGAATCTGGAGATTGTTTCCACTAACAGCGTCGGATTTGATAAAATTGATATCGAAAAATGCAGAGAGAGGGGAATTCGAGTTACTAATACGCCTGATGTGTTGACGGATGATGTTGCTGATTTTGCTATTGGTCTTGCTTTGGCCGTGTTCAGGAAGATTCCCAATAGTGATGGCTTTCTTAAGAATGGCCTTTGGAAACATTCTGATTATCCATTAACTACTAAGGTTCTTACACTTTACAAGTGTCTGTGTCTGTATCTTCTGTATCTGTATCTGAGTCCATGCCTGCACCGACATTTGTGATTATTTAAAATTAGATTGTTTAATTTAAATTGTATAATATAATTATATAATTGTGGGAATAATTGTTTTACTGTGTATTTCAGTTTAGTGGTAAAGAAGTTGGAATTGTTGGTTTGGGAAGAATAGGTTCAGCAATAGCAAAGAGAGCTGCAGCATTTGGGTGCCCGATTAGTTACCATTCAAGATCTCAAAAACCAGAGGCAGGATCATACAAGTATTACCCTAACATACTTGATTTGGCAGCAAACTCTCAAGTACTTGTTGTCGCGTGTGCTCTTAACGAACAAACGCGACACATTGTGAATCGGGGAGTTATTGATGCATTAGGCCCAAAAGGGGTTATTGTCAACATTGGGCGTGGACCGATCATCGACGAGCCTGAACTTGTGTCTGCTTTGGTCGAAGGACGGTTAGGTGGAGCGGGCCTTGATGTGTTTGAGAATGAGCCTAATGTTCCTGAGGAGTTATTCAGCCTTGAGAATGTTGTGCTCACTCCTCATGTAGGAAGTGATACTGAAGAAACTTGCAAAGATATGGCAGATCTTGTGATTGCAAACTTGGTGGCTCACTTTAGTGGCAACCCACTTTTGACTCCTATCTTGTGATTTTATTGATTGAATATATTGAATAATGGTGTGCCATTCTTACACCAGTTATGGTGTTCTAGATTCTTGGCTGATGCTGAACACCAATGATTGTATGCAAGAAAAAATATGTAACAACATCTCAAATGATGTCTGAAATGGATTGCATGATTTTAGCAAACGTTCCTTTTTTGAAGTTTTAAAACAACTATAGTGATTGGAGAAAAAACACAAACATGTAATTAGAAGACATTTAAGTTGAAATTATTATATTTCGGAGACATCAATTATTCAATAAATCAAAAAAGTTTTTTTTATTAATTATAATAGTGACCAAAAGGTGTATTCAACAAGTTGTTCTACAGGTCAGGAAAAAAATAAATATCACTGAAGACTTGAATTATTCATCCTACATGAAGTTTTATGTTTCATCCGAACTAAAGAGAAAATCCTTATTATGTACGTATCAAGTGGTTGTTGCATCCCGAATCCAAAAATCACATCTTTTCTTTAGCACTTGTGATATTGACTTCTTTAACTATAAGAAGCAATTGTTCTTCATCAAACTCCGCATAGTAGTTTGCATTTTCCTCCTAACTTGAACATTCAAATTAATAGTGTTCTATTTTGTGGCACTTATAGAAGTCAACATTTTCTTCGTCCCTTTCCTCAACCTCCACCACGACCAAATCCTCTTATTGCATTGAAACTTACAAGACTTGATCATCTTTTTTGTGATTTGAACAAGCAAACTACTTTTCAACTCATCAACTATTGGGGTTATTACATCATTTGATTCTTCCATAGAACATGCTACATACTTGAATCTTAAAGTCTAAGATTTGTGAGTCTTTTCAACAATAGTTATTTGAGTTAATTTTTCTCCATTCACGTTCATTTTATTGACTACAATCAATGTTCTTACAAAGAACTCATTCCCAAATTCTCCAATTTTCAAGTAGAGAATTTTGATTTCTTTGTGCATCACCTGTAATTTAGCTTACTTCACCATGGTAGATCCTTTCTACTTTTTCTACAGAGTTCCAAATATCTTAGCTAGTATCACGAACAAATATAGTTTCAAGAATTGATCAATCAATTGTTTGAAATAGAAAAACTTTTACCTTTAAGATTTGATCAATTAATTGCTTCAATTGTTCCTGCTAGTGCAATTAGCACTCTGTCCTCGATTATATTTCAATATTCTTCCTGCTAGTGCAGTGTAACTAACATATTTAGTTTAGTCTTAACTAAGGGTGGAAATAGTTCATGCCGAAAATAAGGGCCTACGATCTAATTTATATAAGCTTGAGCTACGGTCTAACTTATATAGGCTCAGGCTAGACCTAAGTTTTTTTATAAGTCTATTTAGTTAAAAAAGACTAGTCTTTTGTCGTGAAAAAAGTCTTTTAGGTCTAACAGATCGGCCTATATAAATAAATATGAATAACTTTTTTATTATCGTAATATTATGTTTTGTACTTTGAATCAAAATACATAAATAAAACTTGATTATCTTGGAGAACTTATAAAAATAAGATGAAAACACCTTATTAACAATGTTATAACTTGTTTTCACACGTCCTCTTAAATAAATATTCTCACAAAACTTATGTTAATTGGTAAGTTAAAATAAATCAATTCAAACAAATTTTTATTTTCATTGATTTTTTAGTTTGTTAATCTATTTAAATATTATTTAAATTGTTTATTTACATATGTTTAAAATAATAGGCTTTAATGTAAGCTAACCGACTAACCAGATCTTAGAAAATGACAGACTCAGATCTAAAAATAAGTCTATGACAGACTACAGATCAAACTTAAACTTCAATTTTTTTAACAGTCCTAACTTAAATTTGACAAAGTTTAGACCGATTCAGCCTATTTTCACTCCTAGTCCTAACAAATAATAAAAACAGAAAGAAAGATGCCATTAATAATGGAGGGGCATAAGAAGAATCACTTAAAAGCATACATATTCATAATATTTAATTTGGAGGTTTAAATTAACTCCACTAATTTTAATATATTTTTCAAACTATTCCAACAATTCAACTAAAAATTTTAAATATCCATACTACCTATAAAAAAAATTTAAATGGATTTCATTTAACCCTTGAATACACCTTACATATTAATCCAATTGAAATTTATACAATATAATAAAAGAAACTAAATTCTTTGATAAGTTGTATATTTGTCAGTCTCTCAATCCCTCTTCTATTTATAACTATTGTTATAATCGAAAAACTTTCTTTTAATGTAGTTGTATTCATTTTTTAATTTAACTTTAAAATAATCTAAAATCTCTATTTTTTGTGTGTCACGGTTTCACCAATTAATTCTGCTTGGACTATTGGAGAATTCAAGCGTCACCTACCTTTCATTTTTTTTCCAGAATTTCTTTTTTGCTTATACCTCTTCATAATTCAACGTTCTAATTCTCAGCAATTTATTGTTCCCATTTTCCAAACCCTGATATATGTATTCATCCATGTATTCAAATGACTCTAACAGGCGGTTTCAATTTCTTCTCATCAATGGTTTATGTTTCCCAGGTAAGATAATGATTTAAAAGTTTAATTAATTTTGATTTCTGCGAAATCCATATGAATTTCTGGAGATAAATAGGTATTATTCGTCTCAATTTCAAACAAATTTGGATTTTTTTTCTTGATAGTTGTTATTCCCTATTTATCATCCATCTTTTTGTGTTAGGTTTTGATCATGGCTTCTGGAGGAGTTAACTTTGTTAACGAAATAATTCATGCAAAGGAGTCGTGGAACATTGATGTTCGAGTGGTTCGCTTATGGTTTGTATTTGACATGAATGTCAAACAGAAGTTTTTTACTATGGAAATGATTCTCATGGATGATAAGGTCATTTGTTGTTTCCATTTATCATTTTTGGTAAATTGTAATATAATGTTTTATACTGAATTATATATATTGTTTATAATTTGATAGGGTGACAAAATCCAAGCTTCAGTTGGAAATGTTGGAATAATATAGCAAGTGTGATTAAGTGGGGAAATAGTCTCACATTGAATATGAATGTAGAGACTTAAGCATATATAAGTGGGAGAATCCAGTCACCTATCACCTTAAGGTTTTAGGTGGATAAGTGGTGTGCCTCTCACAAAGGTGCTTATTCCTACACTATGTATCGATACTCCTAGTTTCTCCCCCTAACATGGTATCATGAGCCTTTGGTTCGAGAAAGGGAATGGAAGAGACTTGTATCAAAATGCGCCCAGGAAGAGGTGTTCCGTTGCAAGATGTCAATGGTGGTACAAGTGAAGGAGCATTGTGGACTCATACTTGAGGGGGAGTGTTGAAATGATATAGCAAGTGTGAGTAAGTGGGGAAATAGTCCAATATTGGATAAGAATGTGGAGACTTAAGCATATATAAGTGGGAGAACCCACTCACCTATCACCTTAAGATTTTAGGTGGATAAGTGGTGTGTCTCTCACAAAGGTGCTTATTCCTACACTATGTACCAATGCTCCTAATACTGGAGTGTTTAGGATTACAAAACACCAATTTAAATTCAATTTTGGCACGATTGTCACAGATGTTGGACTGGAATTATAACATTATCGCCTTATTCATTTGTATCTTTTCCAGATATTCTTGGCAACATAGACATGGACTACTTGGTTGGTATTATAGCTTATGTTTTAGTTTATTGTTTCATGTATTTTCATATATTTTTATACTTGTGCATCTAAAGTTCTAATTTCTTAAATATTTTCCAGATGTTATGGGTATTTTGTCTTCTGTTGGTCGTGAAAGGGTGTATGAAAGGAATCGTGTAGCTACTAAATTTAAAGTTATTGAGTTGGAATTCAATGGGTAATATATTTTATGTGAGTTATACCGTATACTGTTATGTAATACTCTAATTGTTTATCTGATTTTATTTTATAACTCATGTAAAATTAAGCTTGAGTGCATGTTATTTGGACTGTATGTTTATGCCCTTGACGCCTTTCTACAATTTGGCTGCAATGAAAATGTTGTTGTGCTTGCTCGGTATCTGAAAGTGAAATTGTATAATGGAAAAGTCCATCTTCAAAATGCAATGAACTGTATCAAGCTTTTGTTCAGCCCTGAAATTCCTGAGGCGGAAAGTTTGAAGCTCCACGATAACATTGGATCACCTACACAACCATTCAGTTATATGAAGGATGCTTCTGAGTTGAGTTTAGAAGAAGAATGTTTGAACTTGAGTCAATGCAAAACTATTGAGGAACTGAAGGATTGTCAAGATATAATATTTAAATATCAATTTGTACAAAAATTACATAAGATGGATTCTCTACTTTTTAGTTTGTTAAATTAACATTATTGTTGTTTTTGTTTGTGTAGAATATTGTTTGTATTGTGTTAGGGACAATCAAACATGTTATTAGTGGCGACAATTTATGGTATGTTGTGTTGGAAATCCACCAAATATCTATGATGAATTTCTACTTCAATGACAATGAATTATGAGAAAAATAAGAAAAGAAAGAAAATAATTATTTTCTGCAGAGTTTCTCTCTGCCCACAATCTGTGGAAAACTTTGTTATTCACTTGCAACTGCAAATTCTATGAATACAAATTAATTGAATTGATTACAAAATAGGGGTTACTCCCTCTATTTATAACTGAGCTTGCACCCTAAGCCCAAAGTCCAAAATATCTATTTTGTTACTAAATCAAATCTAATATATTCTAGACTTAAATCAAATCTATTTAAATCTAAACAAATCTAATCTTTTCAGCACTATGAATTACAATTTAACGCACCACCTAATTCATTGTGTCTAAACTATCTATATTCATCATGACTCTTAGCCTTCTGAATACTTTGACTTGCACTCCCTTCGTTATGATATCTGCAATCTGATTCTCAATTCTGCAGTGTTCCAAATTCATCTTCCTATCTGTTACCTGCTCTCGAAGATAATGGAACCTTATTTCGATGTGCTTACTTCGACCATGTGTCATTGGGTTCTTCGCCAGATTG